ACCTTATAGTAACATCAAAACCTTAAATGCCTTGAAACCAAACAGTAAGAAAGTGTCAGGCACATAAGAGAGGGCATGAAGACCCAAAGTGGTTGGACCCTTCCCGGAACCTGCGCAAGCCGGAGCTACGTGCACCGGGCTGCCCCTACAGACCTAGTAAGTTCAGCTGAAGCTGAAACAGTTGCATTGGTATGCAAATAATACGTTGCTAAATCACTGATCTGGGGACTGATGAAGCAGGATCCAAAAAAAAAATTGAATTTGGAAAGTAAAGCTGACATTTTACTGTAAGAAACATCTATTATGCTAGGGCATGTGCACCAACAGTAGTCAGTCCTAGATGCCACTGACAATCAGGAACATTAACCATGGCAGAAAGCAATGGAAGACATGTTGATGATGATAGTTTCATACCATGTTAGGATAAATGTGCTCCAATAAGACCAGCCCCAAAAGAAGCCAATTCCACCTTTATCAAAGCCAGTTAATGTCTGCAAGTGAGGTGATGTAAGAGTTTAGACCGAATAAGTGAAGATCATTTGACAGCACAGTGCAAGGATAAAGTTTGCCATAAATGGCCTGCACTATTTATTGGCTTATGTATATGTTGACATATTCTATTTTTAACTTTTTAACATTTGTTCGCTTGTGCTTAAAACCCATTTAAATAAAGAGGGCAGGATTGTTCCATTTGGGCACGGCTTTGCTCATACAGATGAATACACCAACAACATGTATGTGAAGCAGTAGAGGGAGGGAGTGGCCCATACCCTAATAAGCATGGCATCAGTGGAGCATGTATCTACAAAATATTCAAGGCATGCTAATGTATCTGACCTAGGATTCTTTCTAGCAAAATATTAAACCTTATTTATAGACACTTCGCCTGCACCTGATCTCTATGCTTTGTGGAGGTAACCAAGTCCACGCTCGGACTATTTGCAGCTATACTTCTTCTATAGCATTCATTCAGACTGAAGACACATGTGAAGCTGGACTATGTAATCTGAATAAATGTGTGATTTTGATGCCTGGTTAACATTCCATCTTATCGTTTCGTTCTCAGTTCCCTTGAGCTAACAGTTACTGCTTGTTGCAGCTGAATGCTCCCTTGCTAAAGTCATGTAAGCCGTCAACTAGAGAGGACAAATTTTTTTCCACCTTGTGTCCTACATTCCTATGAATCTAACATAATGGTGAATCCGTGAATGTCATGTGTGGACTGATGACTTAATCGGCAAGTACCAGCACAAACAGCAGAAAAAGTTTATCGAAGGGGACCAAGGCAAGACAATGGAACATTGCTACGGCAATTAGCCACAAAGAGTAAAATAGTGTAGAGACTTCTCAGAAGCTAATTAGAGTCAAGCAGGCCCTATACACTAAACATATGGTGCCAATTTAGCTCGGCCATGTTGTTTATGCTGCATTTCTTAGAACTATGAACTAACCAATTAGTACTCCTGGACAGATGGCATCTCTGATTGACGCAGGGGTGAACCTAATACCCTGTCACCTAGACCTCATTCCGGGACCAGAAGCAGCAACTCAAATGTACGATTCACCACGCGTTCTCCCCTCAAGCACCCGAAACTCCACGCACTAACAGCTTCCCAATCAAAATTCATGTCCTAATACCCCAATTCACCCCAATTGGCGCAAAACCAGAGCACGCAATTAGCTCAGCCCGGGGCGGATCTCAGCGCGCCGAGGCACCGACACCGGAACCGGAGGGGATCACAGGCAACTACGAGGATCGAAATCTAGGGGGCGGGTGATGTAGAGGGATGAGAGATCTGACCGTCCAGATGTCGGCGGGGACGATGATGATGACGGAGAGGGAGCAGAACCAGGCGTAGCCGACGGTGGCCTGGACGTAGCGCGGCACGCCGGGGCCGGCGAAGTAGCGCAGCGTGACGACGACCATGCCCAGCGTCAGGGGCAGCGATATCAGGTAGAAGACCCACATCTCGCCGCCCTCCGCCTCGGCCTAGCCGCGGCGCCGCGCCGGCCGGGAGGAGGGGGTGCGGCGGGTGAGGGTTCGGGGCGGGTCGGGGGCGGGGGCGGTGGGGGCGGACGAGTCCGGCTGGCTCCGGAAGCTTCTCGGCGCCGCGTGGAGGCGGGGTGGGGGGCACGGCTCGGGAGATCGAGCGAGGTCTCTTTTGTCTCCCCGGAGAAGTGGCGGGGGAGAAAGAAGGAAGGCGAGGAAGAAAGATGGTTGCTGGTGGGCTCGGCACGCCGAGCAGAAGCCGCTGTCTTCGGAATAGGAAAATTTTGGGTACGAGGGGAGTAGCACGCACGCACGCAATATTCTGGTCCGCCGAATAAAGCCGGGATATAGTATTATGCGTGGTGCAATGCAGCTATATTTCAGACCTTGCTATGATTTTTTTGTGAAAGGAGACATATGGACGTTTTTTAGTTTTGATTCGAATCAATTGAATGTAATTGTGCGATAAAAAGTCTCCGCCGAAGTTCTTTTTATCGGTCATCGGATTAAACTTTAGGCTTGTTTCTTGGGTAATTTTTATTTGCGGGCATGAACTTTGGGAGATTTATTCGTTTGGCGAAGTGTGATGCAGCTCTTTCACGCCTTGATGATGTGTTTATTGGACTGTCTAATGAACAATTGACTGAATTTCGAATTCAGCATGGGTTAAAATTTTCTTTTGCAAAAAATAAAAAAAAGCCTCGGTTAAATTTTTGTCCAACACTAGCGTGACACGTCGACTCCGTCCCTGTATATGTTTTCATCTATCTGTTTTCCTTCCGTGAAACAGTCAATGTTTAGGCCTCCTTTGGTTTGAAGGAATTTCATAGAAATTTTAGAGGATATGATTTTTATAGGATTTTTTCCTTTAGAGCCCTTTGGTTCATAGGAATGGATTCCTATTCCTACATAGGAATGGTTCCTATCCTCCACATTTCATAGGAAAATAAAAATGAGTCTAGACTCAATGGAAAAATTCCTTTGATGTTAACCAAATGACATCTCGTTTCCTATTCCTACTCATAGGATTTGATATACATGCCATCTCATTTCCTACAAAGTTTCTATTCCTATAATAATTCTATCCTATGAACCAAAAGAGGTCTTAATGTTTAACCACCCAAATAAAAAAATGGTTTCATTCTCCATTATTGTCCCAACTAGCGGATTACCAGCTGCTAGCTGGTGCAAGGTGCAAGCAATCTACTCCAGTATCTGCTGCATCAAAACACATACACTGTCTGATATCCCTGGCACAAGAAAAGGGCTGCATAATTAGAAAAGCTTCATCTTGTGAGTTGTGGCCGCCATGAAGCACTCGGATGAAGTACAGGTATTTCAGATACCACTTCCACACATAGATGAAGCAATCACACTGATAGTATTGATGCAATTGGCATACTTCCAAAAAAAAGCACAAGTGAAAAAATTCATAAAGTAACTGAATGTTCCAACAATAAACTAGAGATGCGGGCTCGGATATAGACTTTGACAAACAACATCCACTAGGGTTGGTCCGCAGGCAACACACATAAAAACGACCTAGAGACCACAGAAAACAACGAGGTGTGGTTTCTTTGGTTGTTGGAATGAAATGGGATAATGGGCTTTGGCCATTAGTGCAACCAGTTGTCTCGTGGGGATGTTGATCCTGATCTCCTTGTGGATATTCTGCAACGCAAAAACAAATGCTTACGTCGTTTCCATTTTATTTAGGTAAAATGCTCACGTAGGACAATGAAATCAAATCATGTGCAGTGATGGAAGAATTTCCTAGGGCAAACATCACCTTGTTTTGATACTGAAGGAAGAGAGTGTGAACACTGAAGACAATTAATACTGAGAAACTATGAATGGAAAAAGGATTGGATGAACACTGAATACTGAAAGAGAGAGTTAAATATAAAAAAAATCTGAAACAAAAGAAAACGGTAAAGCGCCGTTGAATGCCTGACTGCTAGAAAGAGAAAAACCTCAAAATGAAATAATGAATATACATCTGCACTGAAAATGAGACAATGAGGAAAAAAGAGAGGAAAAGACTGAAACTAAAACCGAGATGATGAGGAACAAATAGGACTGAAACTGGAACCCACATAATGAAACTGACTGGAAAAATTTAAATAATTACGAGAAGAATAAAACCGAAGAGAGAAAAACTAATTGAACTGAGCATCTTAAACACTGAAGAAAGAAATCAAAGAATGAACGACTGAAAAAATTATGAATCTGCAACAAAAAATTCACCCTGCAAAACCATGAATTTGAAAATTTCAAGGAAACCAAAAAGAGCACTATGAACTAAGTCTGAAATAACCAAATCTGTATAACCTGATACATAAAAGCACTATGCAGATTCAGAGGAAATTCCCCCTGATTGTTGCTATCAAAGAAAATAAAAACCCACGAGACGAGCGCCAAGATTCGGGGGTAACAAATCGAACGGGAGTGAAATCAATTTTCAATAGACTGGAAAATAGTAAAAATGGAATTTATTAATACATAAACGGTTTGCGGGGATCTGACTCAATGAATATAATTGCGTAAAAAATATCAGAATAATCCTAGGACTTGTTTTTGTGTAATTTTTTTGTGAGCATGAATTTTGGGATGATTCACAAGAACCAAGAGTAGTCTGAAGAGATTTATGTGTTTGACAAAAGAAATGCTTGAAAAGTTGTTTTCTTACATTAAGACTTGGAAAAGGACATGGATTATCTTCTCCCGAGCTCAAATACATCCACATAAACAGTAAATTTAGAAAGAAAAAAATAGTAAAAAACTGTTTTTTAATGAACTTCAACAAATGTTCTAACATGGTGCAAAATTTCACCTTGAAAAGACATCCGTAGAGGTATGTACAAAAAAACAAAATTCTGAACTTAAAAGAACGAATTTTGGAGCACTCATTTTTTGTTTTCTTGGCACACACCTCTATCCACTCAATGATCCTCTTCAACACACAAGAGCATCGATTTCCCGAAGCTACATCACGCCACACTGCTCACCGTCAATCTTGGTCCATGTCAATCTTGGTCTCGCACGGGCCATCAGGATTGCGTGCCGCTGCTCTTTCCGCCTGACCCCGAAGAAGCACCACTTGATCTATGGCAAGCTCTGCCATTCGGCGCTCAACGCGGGCGGGATCCCGCCGCTCCCTCGCGATCTTCACGGCCACCTCCTCCAGCTTCTTCAGCCTGCGCTTGATCGTCTTCAGAGCCAGCTCTGTGCGCGCGCCGTCCTCGAGCGCCTCCCGCATCGGCGCCAACATGTCGCCGTACATCTCCTGGAGAACCTCCCGGCACTCGCGGCTGGGGTAGAGTTCCTCGAACGTACGCGGCCGCACGTGGTGGCCCGGCGACGGCTTGACTTCCTCCGGCGGTTCCTTCGCCGGCTCGGCTTCTTCCCGTGATTTCTTCTTTGGCTTTGGCCTGAGTTCTTCTAGTGCTTTCTTGGTGCGTCTTATGGTGACAACCAGCTTGGTGTACGTGGTCTCAAACTCCCACGCCTCCCTAAACTTGGAGAATTTGTCGCCGCTCTTGGGGGCATCGACGGCCGAGGAGGCGCGTTGGTTGGTCGTCTTCCGTTCGTCGACGCGGGGTTTCTTCTTGCACGCGGCGTCGACTCGGATCGTGGCCGTTCCGGCAGCGGGGGCCTTGCGCTTGGGTGCAGGAGCACGGTGCTCTTCCGGCGGCTCCTTCTTGGGCGCGCGACGCCTCAGAAAGTCACGCCCCGTCGGAAGGTACTCCGTGAAACCGCGGAGGAGATGGCCGTGCGCCGACCCGAAAATCTTCCGGGCCTGGTCGTAGATTTGATTCGCGTCGAGCTTGACCTCCGCCCTCACGTGGAAGAGCAGCGCGAGGACCCTGTCGTAGAGCCCGGCGTCCGCCAGCTTCACCCGCTCGAGGAACCGCATGGCCCCGGCACAGTCGGCGTCGACGGAGGCGGCCGCCGGGTGGCGGCGCTCCCTCTTAGGCCGCTTGGGCGGATCATCGCGGACGGGCTCGGCTTCGTGCTGAGCAGGACGGCGGAGAAAGGGGTTGTAGGTGTCGAAACGCTGGATGAGATCGGGATGGCCCTGGAGGAGCGCGTACGCCCTGGCCACGACGGCGGGGATGTCGACGATCTCGCGCCTGCTGAAGCGCGCGAAGAGGTCGAGGAACTCCGCGGTGACGTCCGGATCGGGCGCGAAGCATGCTTTGACCTGCTCCAGGAGGGATAGGGCGTCGTACACCGCGGGCTGCGGAAAGCTCTCCAGCAGCTGCTCCATGGCGGCGGCTCCCTCGGCCTCGATCGTCTCGGCCGGCGGCGCGGGTTATTTCTCTGTAGTGCGGACCGGACGGGTGGGGTTTCAGATTTGACGTTCTCGTCACTTATAGAAAGAAAAGAGAAGAAAAAGAAAGGGTTTCGGACTTCACGGATGGATCAGGGGCGCTTCGTTACACGCCGTGGCCGTTTCGTGTCGTGATCGTGTTCAGCCCTGAATCCGTGACAGGAGTGGATACGGTCTGTAATTTTTTTTTTCGAAACGGAGGTATAAGATTTGCCGCATCTATTAAATAAGGAGAGAATAGAGTTTAGAGTTTTACAACACACCCACAGATACGGCATGACAATTACTCGCCCGCGAAAATATTCCCTAATTTTTTTGCACCGACGGTCACCCAAAGCTTGGCCTCGCCGACGATGGCGGCGAGTAGGATGGTCGGTGGCGCACTCTTATGACGGAACACCTGAGTGTTCCTTTTATTCCAAATGGTCCACGAGACAAGCATGGTGAGAGAGGCCAAAACTTACCGGTTGGGGTTACGGTTGTCGGTTTTCTTGTCCCACCATTCGAAGACGGATTCGTTCATGTGCCAGTCGGACGTATCCATGTGCGCGAGACCAAGCAACTCAATGAGAGACTTCCATAGCCGAATCGTATAGCGGCACTTGAAGAAAAAGTGGGCACCCGTTTCTTGTTCCCTATTGCAAAGCTTGCAGAGGCTACAATTTAGCCAATCGCCTCTCTAAACGATCGGCGATCTAAATCCTATCTTGCAATGCCAACCATGCAAAAATTTTGACCTTTGAAAGTGCCCATGCCTTCCAAACCATGCGATCCAAGGGGAAAAAGTCAAACCTAGGAATTGAGCCTGGTACGCTGGCCGTCGTGTATACCCCGTCGTTCGCGTGCTTCCAGACGATGGTATCTTCGGTTTGCTCATGAAGGTGAAAATCATTTAGGAGCATCCATAGAGTGAAAAATTCCTGAATGTGGGCGGCGGAGACAACCGCGACGTGGCTGATCTTGAGGATCCAAGCGTTCCCCTTGAGGGCCTCACGAACCTTCCAGTTTTTTTTTGCCAAGGCTGCAAAGATGAGAGATGCAATATCCTTGGATTTGCGTCCAAGAAGCCACGGGGAGTCCCAAAAAGGCGTTTTAGCGCCATCTCCCACCGTGAGATCATCATGGATTAAATCGTGGGAACAACTCGTAGCATCCGGATCTCTGCCACGCCCGTGTCTGACTAATCTGGCCGACCAAAAACCCCTCTCGCGCCCCTGCGCACTTTCCAACCCGAAGCCAGCTGCCCGCATTCACACCGCTCTAGAGCGGCCGCTCCGCATTGACGCCCGTCCAAAACGGACATGACCGCTCGCTGGCGCCAATATTGAAGTGACTTGCCGGCCGAGGGCGCCACCCGCGCCGCATTCCTGGTCTACACGCCTGTTCAATATTGGAGAGATGTTTAGTGGACGGGGCGGATGGATATCTACCATGTCCATCCAATGTCGGTCCCTTCGTCCGCCGCCATTCAACATACTGCCGACCGAGAAGCCAACTCCGGTGCCTGCGAATTTACACACCCGGACGCTTGGCCTCACCGGCATCCACTATTTAAAGGCGGACACATCCTGCGAACGTCACACACAACCCTACCCGCTCCACATCTTCCTCCCGTGCATCACATCCGCCATGACCGCCAGCAGGAACGCTCTGTGGGAGAGCCTATCGACGAAGATGAAGCATGAGGTCGCCGCCCCTTGTGGCCGCCTGGTAGAGCTGTCGTGCCAGGCAGATCGAGGCTGGCATGCCGACCGACTCTTCCGAGGTCTTCGACGACGATCCCACGATGGAGATAGGCTCTGACAATGACTTAGCGCCGGAGCCCATGCCGATGCATGTCGGCTTGACCATGGAGCAGGCGCAGGCGCACTTCGATGACGCCATGGCGGAGGAGCAGCCTGCGCCGACACCTATGTCGTTGTTTTGACACGCGCAGGAGGAGCAGCGGTACAACCTGATTCTCCTCGAGCGGCACCGGCTGGCGGATGGCTCTATGAGGCCGCTTGCGCCGCATAGGCGACGCAGCTGGGCGCAGACGCGGAGGCGGTGCAGGTTGTGCAGGTGATCGCGGACCAGAACACCGTTAGTTGCGCGTCCTAGGCGCTGACGAACATTGTTTGGAAGCGCATGTGGGACGACGAGAGTGACAACCCCTCCATTTCCATCATGGACCTCACATCCACCGACGACGGACAGGTCGCGGAGTCCTCCAAGGATGAATAGGGCATGGGAGGCGGCAGAGCATTTGCTACTCACGATGGAGTTGTTGGATTTCCCCGAAGAGAAAGGGTGAAGCAATATACTAGCAGATAGTATTTCTCTTAGTTAAGAACCAAGATTTATCGAAGCAGTAGAACGCACCACACCAGCAACATAGACAATACTTGCACACACACAAAGCAATTGCTTGCATCCAACAAAGGCAAGGGGGTCGTCACTCCCCTTGTTCTTGCCAGTTGTAAGACTAAAACTGACAGCGATAGGCGAAGCAAATAAAAAGTAAAAAGTAAATAAAAGAGAGCAAATAAAGAAATTATAGGATTCTTAGTACAGTATTGATGGACAATGGACCCGAGGGCCATATGTTCACTAGTGGTTTCTCTCTTGAAATCAAAGCAACAGTGAGTAAACAAATTACTTTGGACAGTTGATAGAATTGAGCATAGTTATGTACTTTTTCAGAAGTATGAGCCGTAACACCTTGGTATTGAGATTCTAGGTCCATCACTGACTCACACAATAGAGGAACATAGGGAACACCGGACATACTGAGGCCACCATTGTACAACTTGCCGGCACTAAGGTATCACACCGTCCCACAACACAAAACAAAACTTCATGCAACAACGACATATGGGCACACCAACACCCCGAACAACACAAAACCAATACGCGCCCCTCCCCACGCGTTAACACCTCAAACCACATACTCTGCATTGATGGTATGCAGTGCCACTTGCGATCCTTAAGGATCGTAGTAGCTCACACGTCTTACCTACATGAGTCTAGCTTGTGCTGAGAGACCGCAGGCGCAGTCCCCACGAGCTAGCCCAAGCTTGTGGAGTTTTTTTTTCCTTTTTTTACTTTATTTTTGTTTTGTCGGTTCCTTTATTATTAAAAATGTGCACAAAAATTTGAAAATATTCATTAACTTGAAAAAATGCCCACATATTTCAAATTTAAAAAACCCAAAAGATGACAGTGAAACACATAAAAGGGAAGAAACGACCGCAGGGGGTGATACCTAGCATTTGCGCATAACTTAGGGCCTCTTTGATTCACAGGATTTTTGAAAATGCCAGAATAGAAAAGGTATAGGATTGGAGCACGTTCACTTGAATCTTATAGGATCCGTAAGGAGCGTTTAAGGGCACAGAAAAACAAAAAAAATGTAAAAAAAGGTTGGAGTGAATGTTAGATTTTTCTATAAAATGTAGTACAAAAGATTTCATACGAAAAAATTCCCATATGATCCAATCCAATGAATCAAATGACCAACTTAGGAAAATTTAGTAAGGATTTCAATCCTCGAAACAATCCTATAGAATTCCTTTGAATTAAAGGAACCCTTAGCATGTGATAGGAAAAAAAAAAGTTAGCCCGTGTAGATACATGGCCCTTATACCCCATCAACGACACTACTCCAGGCTCCCCTAAATTCGCCTAAAAAGTACACGCCTATGGCCCGGCGCGGCGGAGCGCGCCATCCCCTATGGTATACTTTTCCTCTCGTATACTTCAACACCGTAGACCACTTGGACAGACAAGACAAGTGCGCCGATCTTCTCATGCTCTATCATGCCACATGTCGGCCGGAGATGCTCACGCGCCACCACAATTGATCGCGTGCCCCCATCCTTTTGCTCTTTCTTTAGGTCCACCACCCGATCTACGACACACTTGTACACCCGGTCCTTAACTCGGGCGGGATCCCACCGCTCCATCGCCATCTTCAATGCCACATGCTCTAGCTTCCTCATCCTGCGTAGTATCGTCTTTAGCGCCAGCTCCGTGCGCACGTCGTCCTTGAGTGCCTCCTGCATCGCTCCGAACATGTCGCCGTACATCTCCTGGAGAACCCCCTGGCACTCACGACGAGGGTAGAGTTCCTCAAATTTGTGTGGCCGTCCGTGGTGTCCCAGCGGTTCTTCTTCTAGTGCTTTCTTTGTGCGTCTTAGTCGACCACCAGCTTCGAGTATGTGGTCTCAAACTCCCACGCCTTCCTACACCCAGAGAACTTGTCGCTCTTTGAGGTGTCGATGACAAGAGGGGAGGCGTGTCGGTCCGTCATCTTCCGTTCGTCGATGCGAGGTTTCTTCTTGTGCCCGTCGCCGACTGGGTTCATGGCCGCTGCGACGGCAGGGGCCTTGCGCTTTGCTGCGGGAGCACGATGCTCTTCCAACGTCTCCTTCATCATGCGACGCCTCAGAAAGTCGTGCCCAGTCAGAAGATACTCGGTGAAACCGCGGAGGAGATTGTTGTACGTGGAGCCGAAAACCTCCCAGGCCATCTTGTAGATCTCGTTCGCGTCGAGTGCCTCCTCCATCTGCACGTGAAAGAGCAACACGAGGACCCTGTCGTAGAGCCTGTCGCCCGCCAGCCTCACTCGCTCGATGAACTGCATGGGCTCAATACCGTCGGCATTGAGAACGACCGGCCGACGGCGCTCCCTCTTGGGCCGTGTCGTCACATCTTCACGGGCTGACTCGACTTCATGCTGGCCTGGGCCACTAAAAATGGGTTGTAGGCATCGAAGTGCTGGACGAGGTCGGCATGGCCCCTTTCCCTTGCTGAAGCGCGTGAGGAGGCCGAAGAACTCCACGTGGACGACCGGATTGGAAGCGAATCGAGCTCTGACGTGTTGCAGGAGGGCCAGGGCGTCATGGGCATTGCTTCCCAAAATGTTGTCCATCAGTGCGGTATTTGTGAGGGGTCGT